ACACTTATGGCAAGAACGTTGTATTCGAAAGATATTTTTGTGAAATGTATTGTTGAAATAAGTTTGTTAGAATATTAAATAACCTTGAAAGATGTAATATTTCAAGTTGTAAAGTATTACTATGGTAAAAGTAAGCTGTTCATTCTAATTGTTAGATATTTCGACACAAATGACCTCCTTTAAAATATAGACGGACGGCCATATTAACAATGCTTGTAAATTACTTTAAAACACACAAACTGAACTCCAATGTGACAACGCAAATATATCGAACGTTCCGTTATGACGACTAGTAAAACACTGAGCTTGTTGGCGACTGAGCGCCGAGACTGCGACTGAGCCCGAGTCATATATTTTATAAACTACCCCCCTCCCCCCCTATTACTTCCGTTTCCTAATATTTTCCTAACAAGATGATATGATAAATAGCGCAGATTAACAAATAACTTTTAAGAATACACACTATATCAAAAATAGTTAAAAAGCCAACATAATAATAATGTTTATTACTGGTGATGTTATACAAATTCATTTTTATAGCATTTGTGAGGGTAGTAAAGAATTTGTAAATTATTAAATTGGTCAAATATGGGAGTTACTGCCAAAAATTAGTCTTACAATATTTTTTATATACAAAATGTAATATAAAAACTTATTTATGGTTTAATTAAATTGGAACATGCATTCATTTGTTTTAGTACCTAATAACAAAAAATATTTCCAACTTAATTTATAGTGAGTCTGAATAATCAAATAAAAAAACATTGTTTTCTTAATAAAATGTATTATTGCAATGCACAGGGAAGCTTATTGCTTGTAATTGTTCAACTAGTGTAGAACAGTAATAAGGAATAAGTCTCTAAAACCATAATCATTACATACATACAGGAGGGCCATATAAAGTATGTATACACAAATGTTAATGCTGATCTTAGATATTTGAAAATATTATTTATTTAACCAATTTGTTCATCTAATTATTGGAAATATACCAATTAATTTTTCTTTTTTGATTTTGCACAAATTTTGCAAATAACAATTCAGTACATATAGTTAATGTCAAACAATAATTTACATATGTTAATATCACATTTAAAATAGTATTTTTACTCAAATAAATATTTTCTTCAAACTTAATACTGGTTTTAATAAGACACAAAGCTATTTTAAACAATAACTAAAAGGTAAGATTACAAATTACAACGAAATCTAGTGATGCATTTGAAATCTACGTATTGGAAGAAGTGATCCAAACAATACATGCTGGATAACGGGAAATTTGGACAGAACTTCTTTTTTATACATTTTAATGAGACCTTGATTAATTTTTGACCACGAACCAACGGCACTGATGCTCCACAACTGGTTAGAATGCTCCGCAAACGGACCTGTCTTCACATCTTTTATATACTTGATGCATGATAAGAACATATACTCATCTGAAAATTTATCCACTATATCATCTTCTAAGAACTTTGCTGGTGGATATATTCTAGGCTGATCAACAAGCTGTGAACTACCCCAGATAAACGGCACAAACTGGTAATCATCAAGACTCCACACACCATGGCTTCCTGCTGGCTCCATTCTATATGTCTTCTGAAGTTTCCTTGCTATATTAAGATATTTATTAAATAACATGAACACAGTTGCTACATTATCTTCTGGAAGGAGACAACCGATTTTGTAAAGACAGCAAAGAAACATTATAAATGACATTTCATGTCCAGTCCCATAATCAATGCGGGTGGCGTTACCAAAGCTTTCCTCTAGGTATGCTTTAATTTCCGGTATTGTCAGATAAAGGCTTTGGTCCAGAGCTTCTTGAAGATATACTGTTGAATTGCTCTTCACTTGTGTAAGCCATTCTCTAAAGGCAGTATTTCCAAATCTTTGCGGTTGTTCAACAGGGGGACAATTCTCTATCAACTTATCAATTTTATCCAACATGTCCATAATTTTTAATAAATTAGGTGACACTTTACAATCAACAGATAGTGGTTTCCCTTTAATTGCTTCATTTAATGTGGCAATAAAACCTGTGTACTCCATGTACGCTTCAGACTTCTCCCATATTGTCATATCAGTGATTGATTTGACAGCCTTTTCGGGCTCCAAAAATCTATGATTAGGTGAAAATGGAACAGTATTCTCATTCTTTGTTCCATCTCCAATAGGATTTTCAATATTCATCTAAAAATAGAAGGGATTAAATTTATCAATAGTACCAACACAGCTACATTATATAATTGATAAAGAGTAGTCAGAGTAGGTAGATTTATTTTATGATATACTTGCATCAAGACATTATAATATGGACAAGCCATTACATCCATACCATGCAGGAAATACTGGAAATAGTTCTGAAACTTGAACTATGGAATAAAATACAATAAAACATACAAATAGGCAACCAAAATTGTTTATTATTAATACAATGAACTTTTAATAAAACCAAAAACTAAAAAAAATATTTTGTAATCCTTATTTGATACATGTCTATATTTTTACATGTCAACATTAATACAATTAAAATA